GTAAAGCACCCTCCTATTGTGTGTCGTCTGGTGGCTTCAATAAGCTGCTTTTTGGAGCAGGGACCAGGCTGGCCGTGTACCCATGTGAGTATGACCACACAAATGACCACGGCAGGAACAACCAACAACTTGTCTATTAGAAAACAGGCAGTGATTTATAGCAGACTTGGGGATATAGGAAGCACTCATTTTCCCTTTCTACAAGCTCTCTTGGTGACTTAAAATGTTCCCATTTCTCATATGAAAGACAGAAGTGCCAAGAGCAATTGAGTAAATGAAAATCTGACCAGAATAATTTACAGAAACATACAAAGAGTTCCAGATACTCGGTGCTTTCAAGGGAAGCCAATAATATCAGCACCAGATAATCTGAACACTCAGGAAATTAGCTAAGTGCCCTTGGGGGAAAGAGATGAGTTAATGGCAAACACAAATTCTCTCTTAGCAGCAGGTAGCTAAATTCCCTGGATTGTCCAATGAGCATGGCACGGGGACACCTGCTCAAAGAATCTTCCTCCCTGGAGTCTAGTAGTTTTGAACCCTCTCCCAAGGGTAAAAGTGACCCAGACCCCTATCTGAATGGCAAGTAAACCACATGAAATAAGGTGTGGAGGCAGCAATGTATAGGGAGGCCCACAGACCTGGGGAAAATTCTGGCTCTGCTCTCATCAGTTGTATTCAATAAAGCCTCCACTTTCTCGGCAGCCAAATGACAATAACATCATAACATCATAATCATATGAGATAATGCCCAGAATATAAAAAGTATTCAATAAGTAGTAGCTTTTCTAAAATACTACTATAATTATTATTATCGAGACTTTGCTATACTAAAGTTTACATTATCATAAAAAGAAAGGGGAGTAGTTTCCTTGGGAAATAGGAGATCTAAGAAACAAAGACCCAGTGAGCATTTTAGATTGGTGCTCTGAGACCCAAGTGGGTTCCAGCAGATTGGCATCAGGAAGGTTATTGCAAAGACCTTACCCACAGTGGGGGTACGGCAGTGGTTCCAAGCTAATCTTTGGATCAGGGACCAGACTGAGCATCTGGCCAAGTAAGTAGAGTGGGACAAGGGTGGACATTGACAACTATTTTTTCTTTGTCCAAGATGCTGACTTGAGCCCAGGTATTTTCCTCTGTTGGATCCCAAATGGTTCTTTCTACTCATTCCCAGAAAATCCTCCATCCAGCATTCAGTGCTCTGGAGACATTATCCTTAGGCTGGGACTTTAGGAGTCACAAGACAGGTGATGTGCAAGTCATCCTGCACCTTCCACGAGAGTATCCAAGATACTGCTGCCCTGAACAGAAGTTTTTGTTTTACTGGATTCTTGGTTTATTGAAATCACATGAAATCACAACCTCAGCCCAGGGCACCACAGCAGAATGGGGCAGGAGGAAAAAGACTGTACGTACCAGAGACAAAATTTCAATACGAAAGAACAGGTCTAACTCTTAGGAATGTGATTCTCCTGTCCTTAAATAGGAGAGAAGTGCTTCTCTTCTATAAGTAGTAGGTGGTAGGTAGGTCCCAGGAGTTTCTGTAATGGTATCACCTGCGGTGTGAATACTGGAGGAATGACCAGTAAACTCATATTTGGGAAAGGGACCCAAGTGTCCATCGTAACTGGTGAGTCATCCCAGGCGGCACCGTTTGCAACCCCATGGGCCAGTGTCTTTAATTCCTTCCCGAGGGATATGAGTTACTACTATGGGGAGGCTAACTGTGGATGTTATAACTAATTGTTTTACAGAGGACTGGGAAGGGAAAATGCATCACTATCAGTCTTGAATATTTGTGTTTCTCTAAGTCAAATGCATTAAAATTTGACTTTAATCATTCAACAGGTATTTTTAAATGCCCCCTATGTGGCTATCACTGTATAAACGTTACATTGAGTATGAAGCCTAAGATAGAAGCCTGACCTATCCCCAAATAGCCAAAGGTACAGAGCCATTGCAAATTAAGCAAACTGAAAGCTATTTTAGTATGAACCAATTGACAATGTCGATGAGCCCAATAAAGATTCAGAGGGATAGGGTCCTGGCTGGAAAGCTGGCCTAGACTGAGAAATTTTTATGTGGTGCAAAGGATTCTTTGAGTCCTGAAGGATGGGTAAGATCTGTAGGAGCACAGAAAGGGAAAAAGGGGGAGTTCCAGGCATAAGAACAACGAGAAGGAAGGTGTGATCTTGGGAATGAACAAGGCACATGCATTTTGGCCTAAGTAAACACATCTGGTAATAAAGTTGGATGGAGAGCATGGGAAAGTAGGTGTCTTCTTAGATAATGGAGAAAAGGAATATTAGCGCATTCAGGAGAATACAGCCACTGGGAAGCTGAGAATCCAGTTGAGAAATGCAGACCAGATGTGAAGGTGAGAGGAGCCAGCTGTGATGTAGGGGCCTCCCCTCTCCTTCCTGAGTGGGCTCAAAGAGGGGTTACCCCAAGCCTCAGAGGAGGAGAAACCGAGGGGTTTCTGTAATGGAGACTTTGGGAGTGGGACGCAGGTGTCGCCTCCCAGCTGCAACTTGGCAAAGGAACCGGAGTTGCCATTACTCCCGGTGAGTCTGCCCATGCTTGCTGTTTCCAGCGCCCAGCAGAGCCTCAGTGGGACTCAGAGTCAGTGTCACTCACTCTCATTTCTGTGTTCCTAATGCTTAACTACAGAGCACAGATTTATTGGTAAAGGAGTTTTCAATCACTGCTGCGCCCTTGGGGATCTAAAGTACTAGAGCATTCTGACATGTGCTTCTGCAGTTAGTTTTGAATTAAAATGACAGGTTAGGGTCTAGAATAGCTGAACTTCCACACTGAAAAATCAATCAGTCTTGCTGAGGCTAGCTTCTGATACCATCCGTGGTAGGATGTGTTTTTCTTAGTTGGGTGAAATAGGATGTCTCTCCCCACAGGGCTCTGGCAGATGGACCCCTGAAGACCTCCAAATTAAAAGTGGCTCATTTCTTATTTTTAGACAAGATAAGGTTGTGCTAAAGGTACACGGGGACGAAAGTAACAGGGGACTAAAAAATATTAAGTGTCTCTAACTCAGCTCCTGTTGCCATTCCTCAAAATCTCACGTTGTATGTATGGCACCGTGTTTTCTGGACCAACGCTGCCCAACAGAACTCTCTGTGACAATGGGATGTTCTGTCAACAGGCACTGTCCAATACAGTAGCCCCCAGCTGCATGTGGCTACTGAAATGAAGTTTTCATTTTTAATTGAATTCTAAGTTGCATTTAGTCTTGGTTAATTTTCAGTTAAATAGCCACGTGTAGCTAGAGACTATCATGTTGGGCAGGGTGATCTAGACCCACTGGCCCCAAGGCTTGAGTGGATGTATACCCAGGACTCAAAGCTGGGCTTCTGGCCCCCACAGCAACCCCTTTTCCCCTCCAAAGCCAAACTCCATCCTGCAGCACCTGATCCATGCCTTACCCTCAAGGCCACATTCTCTCAGCACTTCCACACTCTTTCATGTCCCCTCCGCAGTCCCACCCAAGACCCCCACCGATGACTGACAACCCACTGGGATGTGTCAGTGGAGCTAACCCTGTCTCTCCCCTCCCAGTAAAGAAATTATGCCTCAGGCCCTTAACCCACAGTGACGTCAGGCTGCACAGGTATGTGGAGACTGGAGGGGAGTAGGCAGAATCCTTCCCCGCCAGAGCTCTGGTGTCTCCCCCACCTGACCATGGAGCCTACCTCCTGCTCTGCAGCGCTGGGTCCAGCCCACACTGCAGGCAGCTCTACCTTCATCGGCATCCCAAGGACATGCCGATGCTGAGTTCTTTCGTTTTCATCCAGCTGGATGTCTGCATTGCCAAGGCCACCCTGGCTGGCTCAGCAAGTGGGGTGCACCGCCAGGGTCTGAGAAACCTTGTGCGTGTTAGGAGGAGCTCTGGGAGTAGAGAACCACAGGGGCAGGAAGTTCTAATCCCAACCCTGCTGGAAACTCTCTGGGTGGCCCCCCGATGTGCTAATCCTCTGCCAAACCTCTGCTTCCTCCTCTAGAGGCAGGAGGGTGGAAAGAATAAACAATGAGAGTCACATTAAAAACACAGAATCCTACGGAAATACTAAAGAATGAATCTCAGCACTAAGGAAATGCTTCCAGCAGCTCCTGCTTCCTGGGGCTGAAGAGTAGAAACTGTGACTCCGTGTTACTCAGCAGCACTTTTTCATGGCAACACCCTGGCAGCGTCAGGAGCTCTAACTACTGACCTTTGTTCAGTACTTTACAGATTATTAAATATATGTTTACATGAAGAAACCCTCATTTGTTCCTCAAGAGTAGCCTGGTTAGGAGGGTGGATGAGGCAACATCTTCATTTTACACATGAAGTTCCTGAGACTTCACAAGCTGATATATATCCAGTATTTACTAGATTACTATTTGGTAGAGCCGAGGCTTGCACACAGGTGTTCTGATTTGTAATCCAAAACTTATAACAATGAGAGAGAAATCGCCTGGCGATGTGATAGGTGTTCCACCTTAATGCCAGCATGTTATAAACCTCCAATTCCTGCCAATGCCCAGCCCAAGTAGAGGAGGCCACCCCAGGTTCTAAGACATGTGGTTGGCGTTGCTGGGCCTTTTTTCTACGCTTGCCTTTGCCCTACCAGAGCTATGTTGTTTACTAGGCTTGCTGAGGTTTTGAAGATGTTCCTATTAAGTATTATAGAAGAATAAGCAATATCGTTCCATAGCCCTGCATTTCTGGTTTCCTTGACTGGCAGGCAGGGCCTGGCAGAGAATGTTCACTGTGAGCCTGGCCTCTTGGCCGGGATCGATGGCTGGTGCCTGTCCCTGAGTCCCAGTCTGTCGTGAACAGCTGGTTTCTAAAATGTTATTTCCCACATAAAGCCTGAGCCCGTGACTTGCCAGCCCCACAGGGCCCCACTCTGTTCATCACTGGCAACTGGACTCTGGCCTGGGTTGGGGCAAAGAGGGAAACAAGAGCATCTCCTGACCTTGGTCCTCTTGGCCCACAGATATCCAGGACCCTGACCCCGCCGTGTACCAGCTGAAAGACTCTAAATTCGGGAACACCTCCCTCTGCCTATTCACTGATTTTGCTTCTGAAGCAAATATGTCCCAAGTCAAGGAATCTGAAGTGTTCGTCTCAGAAAAAACTGTGCTGGACATGAGGTCCATGGATTCCAAGAGCAATGGTGCCTTAGCCTGGAGCAACAAACCCGATTTTGCATGTGCAGACACCTTCAAGGAGGACAAAGTCTACTCCAACTCAGGTGAGTGCAGCCTTGATGCCTTTGCAAGCTATTTCTTTGCTGCAGGAGAGGCCTGGTTCTGCCCAGAGCTCAGGTCAATGGTGTTAAAAGCTGCTCTGATTGGCGGTTTCAGCCTCATCAGTTGTCAGCAAAGCCCCCACACTCTGTTTACTAAGGAGCAATGAGCCCTGCCCTGGAAGTTCACAGAATGTCCTGGGCAAAAAGCAGATGGATAGGTAATAGGAGAGGGCACTGGCCCAGCCTCAGTCTCCCTGCTCTGAGCTCTCACACTTCCCTTTCTTGTCTTGGGCTCTTTGCCCCTTCCTGCTCCACCAGGCCCTGTTCTAATGCCCTTCTCCAAGATGCCTCCCCTCATTTCTCTCTGTCTGCCAAAATATCTTCCCCTGCTCCTAACCTCACTCGGTCACTCATTCAGTCAACAACCATTGACTGTGCAGGTACGTGAATGTACCAGGTGCTGGAGTGGAGGAGTAAAACACCAGATGAGCTTCTGCAGGCAGACCTCTCTATTCTAGTTGGGGGAGCCCATCCATCCACAGGGGAAAATCAAAGAAACTTCAAATTGTAATGTTTGCATTAACTTGAGGTTGAGGAAACAGCCACGTTCAGGACAGAAGTCAGGAAAGGGCTCTCTGAGGAAAAGCTATATGAAGGTACCAGCCAAGCCAAGGACTGAGAGAAAACCCTGTGGAAGCCTGAGACAGGGGTGCAATGAGAATGGGGAGGAGCAGTAGGAATGAGCTGGGTGAAGTCAGCAGGGCAGGTCCCAGGGCCATGAAGGCCATGAGCGCAGATACTATTCTAAGTATACTGGGAAGCTGTTGATTGGCTTCAAGCAGAGGAGGGACACCTAATTTCCTTTTCTAAAGATCAGCCTGACTGCTGTGTGGAGAATGTGTTGTAGGCCAAGAGTGGAGGCGGAAAGGGAGTGATCGCAATAGAGATGATGGAGGCCCGGGCCAGGTGCTGGCAGGGAGCTGGCCAACACCATCAGGTTTCAAAGATAGAACCCCACAGGGATGAGAAGAAAAAGAGGGGATCGGAGACGGTGACTGGGTTTTATGCCTGAGTGGCTGAGTCAATGGTAGCACCATTTACTGAAATGGAACAAACTTGGGATGGAACAAAGGAACAAATTTGGGATGCAGGGATAAAAGCTTTTTGGAACACATGAAAATGTCTACACTTTTATGGCCCTTGTCACTGTGTGTATTTCACTGCCCCTATTGGACTCCAGACTGAAACTGCCCAAGAGCAGGGTCTATGTGTGATAGTTCCCCGTGGCCTGTGTCATGTAACATGTACTTTGCACAACCAGCCTGTGTTGAGTAAACAAAATGGTGCCCAGAAGCCAGAGGGCTGGTCCTGCCAAGGGCAGGGGCTCTACCCAGCAGGTGCCCACACGCTGTACGTTCCCACCAGATCTCTCCATGGGAAGCATGGAAAGGCTGTTCACCTGCCCAACAACGAGGAGGTCTGGGGTGGGAGAAGTGATGTGCTCTGGAAACTAAGAAAATTTCTTTTTTTCTCCTTTTAGAATTTCCCTGTGATGCCACGTTGGTACAGAAAAGCTTTGAAACAGGTAAGAGAGGGATCTAGCCTAGCTTTGAACAGAGCTGGGGAGGCAGTGAACCCACAATAACCCAAACAGGGTAGGGGAGGTGGGAGGAATTAGTGGATGTGGGAACAGAGTTAGGAGGAATAGGAACAGCAGGTGGAGATCTGCTCAGAACTGCTTGGGGTCTTGCTTGAATCCCTGTCAGCATCTCTAACCTTCTTTTCCATTCTAAGTACGTTGAGAATGAGTGTCAAGTTCTACTAGACCAGTGACTCACTGCTAGGCCTCTGTATTCCTGTCAATAGTTCCACAGTCAGGAGAGCAAGCGAGAGCTTCTGAGTGGCCCAGCTATGAAATTTCTGACTCCCTTAGGTGTAGCCCTAAACTAACCTCCTCCTGGGGACATATTCACTCCTTAGCGAAGAGGTTTTGCCTTCTTTTGAGAAAAGCAGAATTCACACAGGCTGTAGGCTGTGTCCTCTCAAGGACACCCCCCTCCCCTGACACCTACCCTGGGCCCACACTCATTTCCATTTGAGTTGTTCTTCCTGAGTCATCCCTCCTGTGGTTCAGCTGCTAGATGCTCATGGAAGGGGCCCAGACCCAAGGCATGATGGTGATAAGATCTGAGCACCTACCTCTATCCCATCCCCAGAAGAGCTCAGAAATAAAAGAAGGGGCAAGTCCAGTTGCTGTTTTTGTTTTGAAACACAATACCACTGAGCCTGGAGGAATGCACAAATGTGTTTGCAAGGAGATGTGCACCGAAGCTCAAAGGGAGAGGCAGGTCCAGGAGCTGAAGCCCACCCCACCCACCCCACTCTGCCTTGAGAAAGCCTCTGTTGCATCCTGCAGGGCTGTGCAGACCTCAGGCGTGCACACGCCTAACCACTGTGACCTCTTGCTTTTACAGATATGAACCTAAACTTTCAAAACCTGTCAGTGATTGGGCTCCGCATCCTCCTCCTGAAAGTGGCCGGATTTAATCTGCTCATGACGCTGCGGCTGTGGTCCAGCTGAGGTGAGAGGGCAGCAAAGCTGGCAGCGGGGGTTCGGGGTGCAGGTTTCGGGGTGGATCCCAAGATCTGAGGGCAAACCTCCCTGCAGGGTCTTGCTCTTAAGTCCTAAGCCTTCTACTTCTTCTGTTACAAGCTTCTCTTATTAATAACAGTGGCCTGAAACATTGTACGACAAAACACACTCATTTCAGCCACCTCGGCTGAGCCATGTCTCCCCTACGAGGAATGGAGAACAGCTATTACCCCTGTTTTAGAAATGAAGAAAGAGAGGCCAAGTAACATCGAGGGCCACACAGCTAATGCGGGGGAGAAAAGAGAAACTCGGGGCGCAGACTCGTTCACACCACATGCCCTTGCTCTCCCACAGTATAACCTAAAGGGTCCCCAAGTCCTTTCCTCAGGTCCTCTGTGCCACCATGGCTCTCTCAGAGCAGTAGAGAAATGCCATTATGCTCGTTCATATCACCCCTAATCCTGCTCGAGCCCCCGGGCCCCTTTCCCCCCATGAACCTGGTCATCTTGCTGGCAACTGCATCCCGTCCCACCGCCATCAAAAAGAACTCCAGGTCCGCTTGCTCCTGGAACTCTACGCCGCAGCCCCAAACAGAGCCGTCCCCTTCACGTCCCTATCAGTCCCACGTCCTCCTCCTCGGCATCCAGCCTGACTTCTGCTCTTCCTCCCCCCAGGTCTGCAAGACCATAGGAGCCCGTGCTCCCTCACTCCCTGCTCCGCATCGCCCTCCTCCCCCTCTTCCCGCAGAGGGAGTGCTCCCAGTCCAGGAGAAGAAGACTCCCACCTCCTCTCAGGGCCCCTGCAATGCCTCAGACAAGATCCTGCCTGAATTAGTGACGAAGGTTGCTGAGGAGCTGCCAAGCACTGCTGCCCTGTGCTCTGTCCCCTGTTGCTGCTTGTCACTGCCTGACACCCACGGCAGGGGCAGGGCTGCTGCAGCTCTCCCGGCTGTGCAGAAACCCCTCGCCCTCCCCAGGGACTGCCTCTGCTGTCCCACTGGAGGGGAGTTCTGGAGGGTTCTCTCAGACTCTAGCTCCTGGAGAGTTTGTGAAGAGTTTATTTTTTTAATAGTCTTCATAAAGAAATACATGTTGCTATTTTTCTCAAGATGTGGGGGAAATTATCTCATTATCGGGGCCCTGCTATGCTGTGTATCTGAGCCGCGCTGTATATATCCTGCTGCCCGAGGCTTCATTAAAAGTGATTGGAAGAGCAGAGACGGTGTTCCCATTTGACTGGGTTTGGTTGGGGTCATTTTCTGCTTGTTAGTGATTACTAGCTGAGCAGAGAGAGACCAAGGCATTTGTCCACGATGCTGTCCAGGGAGCCCAATTCAACAAGCTGCATAAGTCAACCTCTTCTTGGAATAACGTCTAAAAAACTCCACTTAGCAGGCTGTGCTGGGGGCCAGGAAAACCCACTTGAAAGCGTGGGCCCCCCCTCTTCTGTCCTCATGCCACACCACTGGACCACCCAAGCGGGGGGCCCACACATGGGTGGTACTGACCTGGAGTTGAAATCTGGAAGGCAGGGACCACACAGCAAGTGTCCCCAAAATGCCACCCACTGTCTCCTGCCCTCCAGGAATATTTCCTTTGCCTTTCCTCTCAGACTGGATCGACACTGAAACTGTGCATTGTCTCACAGATCCATGGCTGGGGACCACCCACCACTCTCCTGCCCTGCCCGGGTCCCAGCCCCATGCCCAGTGCCTTGAGGTACCCAGGCTAGGAGCAGGGTGGGGAGGAGGTTGTGAGCCCAGCAGGACCTCACACTTCCACCATCCTGGACGTGAGAATGAGGGAAGGGGAGATGAGCTCTCTCCTGTCAAGCCCAGAGACTTGGCCAAGGAGAGCAGATGTCTCAAGCTCTCACGTAGGAGATAAGGAGTGGGATTCCCTGGGGATCCACAGCACACTGCTCGCTCTCCTGGGACTCCTGCTGCCCAAGCACCTTTCCCCAGGGTCACAGACACTGATGGGAACATACCTCAGGGACCACGCAGCCACTTACCTAACAACAACTGCTACCAGGACCCAAAGCTGAGTGCCTACTAGTCCCAGGAGTGGAAGGGGGTTCAAGCCCCAGGTACCTTTATAGTTCACCTACAGGTTGAGAATCCCTTATCTGAAATGCCTGGGACCAGCAGTAGTTTGGATTTTGAATCTTTTCGTATTTTGGAATATTAGTGTAATACCAGCTCAGCATCCCTAATCTGAAAATCCGGAATCCAAAATGCCTCCAAGGAGCATTTCCTTTGAGTGTCATGTTGGCACTCAACAAATTTCAGATTTTGGAGCATTTGTAATTTCAGATTTTCCGATTAGGGATATTCAGCCTGTACCAGCTTTAATAGGTGACCTAGGGCATGTCCTCCCCTCTATGAGTTTAAGGGTCACCACCTATAAAATGTCAGGTCAGACTGGAAGCCACCCCAGCTCCGTGCGTCTCTGATTCCACGACCCCTGCAGAACCGAGAACCAGCGTCGCGTGTACCAAGGGTAGTCACAGAATCCCAGGTCCTTCTAAGCTGCCCCATCTCCAACCTAAACACAATCCCTTTAAAGGTCACCAAAGGGAAAGGTCTCAGAAGAACTCCCAGCACAAAAGGGTCCCCTCGCACACAGGAGGATGGGACTGGACTTGCCCGCTGCGGGGAACTCTGGGAGGCCTCCTGCCTCCAACTGCCTCCTCTCAGCCTGACACAACGCCAGAGATTCCTGCACTGCGGATTTCTGTTCATTAAAGCATTCTCTTCCCCTTTCTACATGAAAATGCCCCTGGGAGGGTTAATAGAACAAGACTTTAAAAACCGTTAAAAACTTAGGGCAAATTAGTTTGTCTTCTTTTTCCTAAAGTGGTAATTCACTTTGCTCTGTATAAAGAAGACCCAGGGAGGGAAGCGTGGGTGGCTGGGCGGGCGGGTTGAGTCAGCTGCAGTGAGGCTGAGACGGAAGGGACACCGGGCTTGGGGCAGGGGACAGGAGCCTGGAAGGCAGTGAAGACCCCTCCAAGAACCTCATAGGAGAGCCAGACTGAAGGAGGCCCCAGGAGTCTGTGGAGTCCTGCCAGCCCAGTGCCCTTGCATGGCAAGGCCCAGCAGTCACTGGTCCCCTAAGGCCACCTGAGGGAGATGCAGCAGGGGCTGGAGACCCACCCACACCCATGGAAGGAGTGAGGCCTCCTGCTTCCAGGCCCCACCTAAGCTGAGGTGCAGGTGACAAGGCCTGGGCAGGTAGGAGGCCATCTGCAGAGCAGGGTCAGCTTCGCCACCTGGGAAATTCCCATCTAAAACCAGGGGTGCCTCAATTCAGCAAGAACCATCCCTCATGAACGAGGCTGTGAAACTCAAAGGCAGTTAGGGCTGAGGTCAAGAGGGGACCAGGGGCAAGTGGGCTGAGGCTGAGCAAATGCTGGGGGTGGGGACAGAGACTCCATCCAACTTGACCGCCCTGTCCTCACATCTGGCTCTAGGCCCCGCCTGGGATGTCAGTGGGAATTAAAGTGGCCTTGCGGGGAGGCCCGGGGGAAGGGTTCCTCCCCACTAGGAAGGTCAGCACTGGGCCTAGGCTTGCCACAGTGGAGCCACCCAGTTCCCCCAGCCAAAACGAACTGGGCATTATTTAACCTGGAGGGAACAGGCGGCTGAGGACACCTGGAAACATGGTCATGAAGAGCCCAGCCCTGAAGCCCCCCAGCCCCAGTGGGCCAGGGCAGCGGCCAAGCTGCAGCTCTGCCAGCCTGGACCCAGCCTCACAGAAGGAAGGCCAGCGTCCCAGCAGCGAACGTGTCACCAAGGCCAGCTGTAGAATGGACTCTTCCGGACAGATGCCCTACTGTCCCAAAAGGCTTAAGTACAAGCCAGCCCTGGAGGTAGAAGAATGGACCAAATGACTTCTCATGACCCCAGGCCTAAGATTCTAGAGGATTCACTGCAACTTCACTCAGAGACCTGACCTCTGAGTGCAAGTGGAGTCGCAGTCTACTCAGGAGAAAGAGCAGGCTAAGCAGGAGCGCACTTCAGGGGTATCTGGAACGGGTCTTCAGCACCGACAGAGTGACCCCTCTGCCGTTACCCACCGCTGTAGGGGCAGCCATCTGAGTCTTAAAGGACTATTTATATTTTTTGTTCACCCATAAAATCCAACGCCCCTGGGGTCATATGTGAAGCCCTTATTATCAGGTAACATTTCAGCAAGGAAGTCCACTGGCCTGTGCACTGCTTGGGATGGGAATTGGACCCTGTTCATCTGTGTGTCCCCAACAGCTAGCACAGTGCCTGGCACACAGCAGATGCCATCGAATGAATGGATACAGGATTCCTGCAATTAGGCACTGGGGAGGGAGCTGAGCATGAGGGTGGGGAGTACAGGAGGAAGGAAAGTGTGGATTAATAGAGAAGGTAGCCAAATCAGCCACTATTTCACAGTTTTGCCAAGAGCTAAGAGTAACTTATCGAGAACTATGAGAAAAAGCAAAGCCAGAGCGGCAGCGCCTTGGCCAGGGCAGCCCCAGGCAGGCACTGCTCCGTCCAGTGAAGCCTGCAGAACATCCACTCCGTGAAAGCACGCAGGACACCCGGGAGTCCCATCACCACGTGACCCCATCAAGGTCCAGGGCCAAAGGTGACTTTCCAGTTCCATCCCAGTTTCTCCACGTGTCTCATCCTAAAACCCATCTCCAATCTACCTCCTCCAGCAATGTGTGGGAAGAAGAGCTTCTGACTGAGATGGGTGGGTCTGGGGAGCAAGCCACATGGAGACCCATTGCCGTCATTCTCACTAATAAAAACACTAAGTGCCGTGGAGGCTGCAGGACCACCAGTGCCTGCCTCTGTGTAAAGGCCACCCCAGCAGCAGGGGGGCCTCAGGCCTCCTTCCGCAGAGACACACATGCATGAGGTTGCCTCTGAGTGGCACACACAGAGCTACACTTTGAAATTAATAAACAGGTCAGACACTGAGTCAGTAGCCAGAAGTAGAACAGGAAGTGGAAAAAGTCGCCCACTTCCCTCCAGGTGTTCGGGGGCTGGGGCGGCCCCCTCCCATTTCCGTGACATCACGGCTGCCAAGAGGGGCAAATAGGCCACCCTTTGAAGCTCTCCCACAGAAGCCACATCCTCTGGAAAGAAGAGTTAAAAATACTGAGTTGGAGATAGCATCGCCCCAGGCCACGTGCCAAGGGGAGCAGGCCGGGCCGTTACACCACCTCCCAACCGCAGGTGTGACAAGAAGGCCAGGAAGCCAAGCTGGGAGGGGCTCTCCGTGACTAGCGCCCACACCCAGCAGCCGCTGGGGCGGCACCTCCGCTCCACTGCTGGGACGCCACCCCTCCAAACCAGGCCCCGAGGTCAAACCTTGATATCATCTGATGAAGCACTCCCTTAGCACAAGACAGACCCTCTAGGCTTGTGTCCAGCCCACCCGCCCCTGGGACGTAGCGATGGGGGAGCGGGGGCTACCTCTGCCCCACACACGGCTGGGGCTGGTTCTCGCGGAGGGAGCCTCCCAGGCAGCCCCACCCTCACCCTCACTCCAGGCAGAGGCCGAAGTGCTAGTGACGGCCCTGATGGACATCTGCCTCTCGGTGACCTGGAGCCCAGGATTCCGCAGGAGAGGAGCTGCAGAGCCTGAAACCCAAAAAAACGCCAGGCTTGATGTCCTGCCTGTGGTAGTGTCCCTGGACACCCACCGGGGGGCAGCAGCGCTCCACCAAAAAGGCTGCTTCTCCCTTGGTCTGTTTATTCTGGGAAAAGAAAGCTGCCATGCTTAGGAAAACCTCTTTTCAGAGGAAAATAAAAGGGCAGATGACTTTCATTGCACAAGTCTTTGCCCGTGCTGGTCACTGCGCTGGGCTCCCAGCCTGTGTGATCTTGTCACATCCCCACAGAGGCAGGTCTAGGGTCAGCCTGGCAGGCAGCAGGGGGCACCACCTGC